GTCTGTGGCTTTCAACTGCAATACAAACGAAAACAATTCCGTTCAAATTATTGAGTCGGTTACAGGCCATTAGGTTATATTAGGACATATTTTATATATAAACAATAAGTCGAAAAATCTATAGCTTCTCATTTCTCAGTACTAAATTAGTGTATCAAGTGTGCAGGAATTACTAGTAATTAATTGATGCAAGGGTTATTATCTGCTGTGGAAGAAATTCCACTCCCGAATTAAAAAAACTTAGCATTGCCTAATGATATATGAGTTTTTCACGGTGGTGAAATTGCAGATTGTGGTCTTCTGTGGAATCTTGTAAGGGGTGACAGACGTTTCGGAGGACATAACTGCCTCCATCTTCAGAGCAAACTTGTTCCTGAAGAGATGGTAAAGTTGCGTCATATTGTGATATAATAAATATATATTATTTAAATCTTGTCCGTCTAATCACAATAAATTCTTATTAAATATTAAAATATTACAATAATTATTAATAATTATATTCGATTTACATTAGATGGTCTAATGTAAATCGAATATTTCGATAAAGAACATCATTTAATATTTTAAATATTTTAAATGTTAATTATTGTAATATTTTAATATTTAATAAGAATTTATTGTGATTAGACGGACACGATTTAAATAATATATATTGTTCCTGAAGGTAAGATATGTATTGTGTACCTCCCAGACACCAGTAATCACCTACATGCCCGTACGGTACACTTCTGCCCTGAAAATGGAGACAGTATGCTCCACCGAAACAGTGGTAACCACCTACAAGACAACATGGTGTCATAACATAGAAAAACATAGTCTGGAATTATTACGCTGCCAAGTGGACAGAATTTCAGCATCGTATTTCTAAAGTCCCGGGTTAGAATCTCGGACCGAAGATCGGTTATCCTGGCTGAGGTTTTCGTGATTTTCTCCATTTCCTCCAAACAAATTCCGGAATAATATTTCAAATTTGGCTACTACCGTTTTCTTCCATAAGCCTATCGTTTCCTATCCATTTATCATACCATCATCCGATGCTATAGTACAGTCTGAGCTACTGACAACATCGTTAAATAAACCGAAAATAAATAAATAAATATAACCACAGCCTAATTCAAGAAACCAAATCTTGTGGCGATGTAAGTCTAACGATTAAATGTGGTGTAGTGTTTTGTATATTCGTTTTATGTATTGGCATTCACGAATCAATATAAATTTCAGATTACGTTAGATCCATTAAATGAGAAAGAATCCATTTTGTAATCCATTTGCGCTGGATCAATTTATAGCTCTCGACAATCGAATCATTTTCAGCACAAACAGCTACAGGAGAAATACAGCAAATGGCTTGCTCACGCGCTGTGATTCCTCGTGTCAGCGTCCCAGTATAAAAGCCATACAGCATCCATTCACCAATTAGTTTGATTCCTCCATTGGCTGGGGCATTTTCCGTCAGAAATACCTAGCACATGCTGCCTGTCCAATTTCCATATTGCACGCTCTGAACTTACGGTCGTGTGTCCAGAAAACTGGATACCTTCATGCTCCTGTATTCATCTCGACCCGCGTTAAATCTGTTGTATGTTAAAGTCTGACTTCGTATTCCTTCCAGTACAACAGCAGTTTAACTGACGTTTCTCTCTTGTGTTTTTCTACCCCCACAAAATTATGGCTTTTTTTTTCTGGCCTCCCGCGTGTACTCACTCCCGCCTGGTAAACACTTGAAGAATGTTTCTGGCTCCGGAAAGTCGCGTGACCTGGAAGTACACCAAGGGCAGACCCTTCTAATGCCTGGAAGACTCAATTTCTCAAACACAGACAGAAGTCCCTCGTAGCTGTTGGTAGAGCTCTTTTGACTGATCGAATGAGTGAAAACAGGTCCTTAGAGAACTCATTTGGACACACGGGAAGTCAAACAATTATGTATTGAGAAGCTTCACAGTTTGCATATCAAATCTAAACCTTCTTGACGATGGTGAAGAGTCAATTGAATAAAACTTTTCTTGGATATTATCCATCGTCTAGTAATATGGATTAGCTCTATCTAGTGGGCCCAACTGTGTAGGAACCTGAAGACGGAGATAGAGTCCAATCTCCGAAACGTCGTTTTACGTTTTATATTTACTAGACGATGGATAATATCCAAGGAAATTTTTATTCAATTCACAGTTTGCATTGGCCACTTATTGTTGTTAATATGATCAAATCGAGGAGAATGCGATTGGCGGGGTGTGTAGCACGCCTGGGGGAAATTAAGACTGCGTATAAAATTGTAGGCCGGAGAACCTCAGGGGAATACCCCGCTTCACAGAACTGAGTATAGATGGAGGATAATGTTACAACGTAGCTTGGAAAATAGGGCGTGAAGGTCTTGACTGAATTCAACTGAAAAAGGATTATGTTCATTGGTTTCGTTTCTTCATCACCGTAATGAACATTTCCGTTCTACAAACGCAGATAATTTCTTGAACAGCTGTTAAAGTAAACCTGTATTATACAACCAGTTGATGAATTTTTGGTGGTCGGGATGTCCTCGATTCGAACGCACGTTTTTACAATTCCTTAATCTACAAATACTACGATAGTGCTCGTACCTTTAAATAGTCCACGGCCGTATCCTTACCGATCCTT